AGCCTTTCATTACAATCATGTCTCTGAGCATTCCCATGAAAAACTGCTTTTGATGAGCAGCAGGCTTGGTCAGTATTGCCTTGCAGAGGTTGCAGTCCTGCCTGCAAACTGCAAACCTGCAGGTTTCTTCGCTATCCATGAATATGATGATCATCATTATTATCCCAGACTATTATTTGCAGGGCCTCAGAGCTCCTATGAGGGCTGAGACACCACTGATAAACCCATTTATAAATAGGGATGAGAAATTTCTGATCAGTGCTTATAAATACTTAAAGGGTGGGTGCTAAGAGGACAGGGCTGGCCTTTTTTTCCAGTGGTGCACAGGGATAGGACAAGAGGAAATGGACAAAAACTTGAACATAAGAAGTTCCACCTAGAGCTGAGGAGAAACTTCTTTGAAGGTGGCAGAGCCCTGGCACAGGCTGCCCAGGGAGGTGGTGGAGTCTCCTCTGGAGACATTCCAAACCCGCCTGGATATGTTCCTGTGCAACCTGTTCTAGGTGGACCTGCTCTGGCAGGGGGTTGGACTAGATGATCTCCAGAGGTCCCTTCCAACCCCATATCATTCTGTGATGCTGTGAAATGTTGCCACTTTCCTGGGGCACTCTGCAGCTGTGGGGGGAGCGAGGGACAGGCTCCAGCGGGACAGAGAGCAGGCAGGTCGGTGGGGACAGCCACTGGCAAGGTTTCCAAGAAAGGCCTTGTTTCCTGGTGACATTTGAAATCGGTTGCCCGGTGGCCTTTTCTCCTGGCCCGCCCGGGTTGTGTCGGTGCCGGCTGCTCGGGGCACATCCCCCCCAGGGGTCCCGGCCATTAAGGGTTTGTAACTGAAAAACGCGGTTCTGCGTTTCGGGGGTTGTTTTAACCATCCTCGGTGCTGCCGCCGGAGCCCGGCCTGGGGCCGCTTCGCCACCGCCGGTGTCGGGCCGCCATCTAGCGGGCGGCGGCGGCGAGGCTGAGCGCGAGGCTGAGCGCGAGGCTGAGCGCGAGGCTGAGCGCGAGGCTGAGCGCGAGGCTGAGCGCGAGGCTGAGCGCGAGGCTGAGCGCGAGGCTGAGCGCGAGGCTGAGCGCGAGGCTGAGCGCGAGGCTGAGCGCGAGGCTGAGCGCGAGGCTGAGCGCGAGGCTGAGCGCGAGGCTGAGCGCGAGGCTGAGCGCGAGGCTGAGCGCGAGGCGGCCGTTGGGCGCCAAGGGCCAGCGCCCGGCCGGGGCTGAGGGCCCGGGACGGCGTGAGGAGAGCCAGAGCCGGGCCCAGCAGGAGGGAGCAGCCGGGTCAGTCACAGAAAATCGTGCTGTCTCTTCAAAAGCTGGAGGTGTCCGGGGGAGCAGGGAGATTCACAGCAAGGGCCGGGGAGCAGCCTGAGCAGGGTAAGCTGGTTTCTGACTCCGCACCCAGCTGAAAGCTTTGGGTGCTTGTCAGTCATCACTTGGGTCACTCTTCTCGACTTTATCTGTCGTATCTAAAGACCTAACTGCTTTGCAAAATGCATATTTAACTATGGTAGCTAAAGTGTCTGAGAATGAGGCAGTGTGGGTATTGTACCATATTCAGTCAGATTAAGCCCAGTACCATCAGTTTGAAACTTTCACAACTTGTGCCTTGAAAAGTGTCATAAAATGGATCTCAAGCTTTAAATTATTAATGCAAGTACACTTGGAGGTTTTATCTGCCCTGTGAGTCTTGAAGCCTTTTAGTGCTGCCTCAAAAACTCTGAAACCTAATGAGATCACCTGTGGTAACCGGGAGATTCCCAAACCAGTGCATTAGTGTCGGTCTGTTACAGGCTTTTATTTGTGGTTACTAAGTGCTCACATCATACTGGGGGAAACTTTCAGTTCCACTGAAATGGAGGGAATGGCAAATGCTCCACATCCGCTTCAGTGCGTTGTAGTGGAACTGCAACAGGAGAGAGCAACAAATAAAGGTACTTTTAGGAATACAACCCAAGCTAATTAGTGTGGTTGCATTTAGTGACCGCAAACAGTACAGAGAATGCAGCAGAAGAAGGGAAAGCAGTAGCAGAGGCAAAGCCTAGCCCATTCTAGAAGCTTTTGCCAGTTCAGGAGCATGACAGTTCAAGAAGGTATTGCTGCTAAGCCTTGCACAGGAATTTACTTCCCTAGCTTGTTCTGGTGCCAAAATTTCAGTACAGGTGGGCTCTCCGGTGGGCAAGGTTAAATGTACAGAGTGGTCTGTTTAGCCTAGTAAATCTGTCATATGAAACTGATGACTGATAAAATAAGCATCGCTATCTAGCATGCTGGGGAGAAAAATGATGTGTACTCCTGCATTAACTGACTGGTTGAAATAGTGGGTTTGTTTTCATCCCTTCCTCAGATTAGTGGCTACAAAAACTGCCACCCTTTGAGTAAAAACAAAATGTGCATAAAGCAAGGATAATCGTTTACAAAATATACTGTCGTCCTTCTGACAAATAGTTTAATTCCCAGCAAATGTACAAGATAGTCAGCCTTTAGGTGTGGAGCTCATTGTGGTCATTTAGTATCTTTGTCTAAGCAAACTTATTGATTGTACTCCACTGAAGCAATTCATAAACAGGAAATACCAATACAGCAACCAGTAGCTTTTGCCCAGAGCAACATCTGTGCTGCAAGCTGCTTACTGTAATACTAAAGAGTACAAATCTGTTGATGTGATAACGCAATGTCAAATGGTAAATCTGGATCAGCATTGCATATATCCAAGATTAAGCTTTTCTGAGTCAAAGCCTTCAACTCCATTAAAAAAGAAATAGGCCTTAATTCTAATCTTGGTATAGTGATGTTAATGCAGAGTTACTTTGCTTATTTTTACAGACATTACATCATCTTTATTAAGTGGTAACTGAGATGACTGAGGTATACCAGCCTGAGCTCTCAAACAGCTACAGTTTTAGTTCATTTTTTTACCAAGTAAAGTCAGCCTTGTAACTGCTTAGGGAAGATTGGAGCTGCACAGAATTCATCACAGCACTGTTTCCTTGCAAAGGAAACCTCCTGTAAGCTGACTATGTGTTTGAAAAACATACACACATCTACAGACTGACTAAATGAGAAATGTTGAAAAAAGGCTAGTAAACATGTCAGGACAAAACAGCTACACTTAAATATGAATTTTATTTGCTATAAATTATATCATGAGAATGGGAACGTATAGTAAAACAGCAGTTAAGATAGAGAGTGCACAAGAACATGAAGGACCTGGGAGTAAAGAAACATTTGCTGCATGCTATGCTCCATGATTTATACATCTCTTTCTTAGTCATAGCATGAGTAGGAAAAGCCACAAACACGTTTGAGGAACACGGGTGCAAATTTTCTCCTTTACTCAGCTTTCGTAGCTGGTTCCATCACCATCTCCACTGAAGAACAAACAAAATGATGCCAGTGTTGTGTGACGTTAAGGGTAGCTCCATCTAGAAGCTCACAGTGTGCTTCAGCACTAGAAAAGATGTGTCTTTGCCAACAGTCAGTGTGGTTGCTCTGTAGATAAACACTTTTCACCCCTTCCTCTCTAGTTCATAAGCCCTTACCCGCTCACTAGAAGAGGCTGACTCTCTAGCTCCCCACATTTAAGCAAAAGAAGCCAACAGCTATGTTGTCACTTGTAACTAAGACTTCGGGAGGGGGCCCTGTTCACCTGTTTAATGTGGTTGGGCTTACCAGAAGGCTGAGCATTTCTACCCTGCTCTTGGGAAGCCTGGCTCTGTCCGAAAGTCACAGATTAACATAGACTCATGACCTCTAATCACTGCCTGAGCATTTCTACCCTGCTCTTGGGAAGCCTAGCTCTGTCCAAAAGTCAGATTAACACAGACTCATGACCTCTGTAATCGCTGCCATTCATTTAATTCTGAATGGACTGTAACTGCTACACAACAGGTTAGTCATCCTTAGCTGATAGTGTACGCCGCAAAAAACAGCGTCACTGCAGTGGCTGTGGGCCTCCCATAGCTTTAGGGAGACCAAGTATCGAGCCCCAGGTAGAAAAGCATGTGCTTGGGTGCTATGCAGGTATAGCTGGAATCAGCATTGTGAAGGGCACCATTCAGAAACAAACATCTGTTATGGATTATGGTTTCAATTTGTTTTGAAATGATCTTGCTGCTGTCTCTTCCCATCACTATGGTATCACCTATGCAGAAGCTAGTATGGCAGTCCCTCCAAGCCCTGTAATCCTTTGGCCCTGCTCCTTAAGCCCACACTAGCTTCTACCTAAATTGTAGACAGATAGAGTACTGGACCGGGCAGAGAAAGACTAGTGAGTCATGACTGTATATCCATCTGCACATTATTACACATACAACCAAACCTCCACTTTGCTCCTGAGCAACAGGAGGTACGGCCATGTCTTCAAGAAGCAAGTCTGAGCTTTAACAACAAGGGAATTCAAGTGGCTATCCCCATGCTGCTGCTTTGTGCACCAGGACATTTCCACTTCTATTTCTGCAGTGAGATCAGAAAGACTACAAGCCCCTGCAGTAAGATAACTACTCCCTTGATTTAATGCTCTAGTACAGTTTTTGTACATTGGCTTTCTAGCTTCTAAATTCATGTGCTACTAGGATAGAAAAGTAGCCCATGATTTTAGTACAAAAGCAATCTATTGTTACCAAGATGAAACTAGAACCTTCAGCTTCAATTTGTAGTTCTTTTTCCCCTTTTGAGAAGGGGTAAGATGTTTGGGGTTTTTTGAATAGAGACTTAGTTCTATTTGAGCTTTTAAAAAGATAATTTATTGCTTTGAATGTTTTGCAATCAACAGAGTCTTTATGTTCTTCACGTGCAGAAACTGGGGACTCTAGGTTCAGTTATTTCCTGAAAGTGCAAGAGACATGTTCCACTGCTGTTATCAACAGCTTTTGGAGGGAGAAAAAACCCCTCAAACACACCAAAACCAAGCCCTCCCTCCACCCCCCTCAAACTCTGAACTTAAATTATTGGTTGATAACTTTGTGCTATTCTTTTGCAATCATTATGGAATTCAAAAGAAACCGCAATGATGTTCAATTGTTTTATTCTTCCCCTGCCCTTTACAGTTAGATACCACATAGGGAGAAGAGGAGATAGTGGCATTCTACAGAACTAGTTATATTCAAAGCACAAACTAAACAGCAGTGTAGACCTTTAACCAGTTCAGGGTTATCTCAAGCCTTAAAAAGGGTAGAAATGTTCACTTAAGTTCCAGACAGTCACCATCTCTTTCTAACATCAAGGGTACTAGGCCTCTAAGAGAACTTCAGTAGTGTACTCCAATTTGTTTTGGTTTGGACTAGCATTATTTTGGAGTTTTGCATTATTGTTCTTTTGAACCTCCAACAAGTCCTTCCAGTACATACCACTAGCGGAACAAATGCAGCTTGTATTAATCTGTGAAAGAACATACATGCACGTTGGTGTGTGGCTCTGAGCCAAAGTTTCTTGAAAGAAGTTTAGATTCCCTGGGTTAGGCCCACTCTTGATAATAGCAGCCAAGATTCTGAAACAAGTCTGTTTTCTTACAATGATTTCTGTTTGAGTTGGTCCTAAGAGTCATGAAAGCTTAGTGCTTCCCCTACTCTTCTCCAAGACCTCTATTGCTTAAAAATGTAGGATAGAGCCAAGACAGCCTTAGGATGAAATTGAAAAGGCTGGGGCTTGATCTGAATTTATATGAGTGCAAGTTCTCATCTATTTTCATCTTTCCTGACATACCTGAAACCCTATGAACCTTAAGGAAATCAACCTATTTCTGAATGAAAGCGTAAGAAAGACTTAACATATTAAAACAGTATGAATACAGGAAGCTGAAAGTAGAAGTATAAAAATAAGTCCTCTTACTGTAAAGAACTCGGGCACCCTGCCTCTTTTACCTGAATAAGAAAGCATGTGCATTTCTTCAGAGCTTGCTTTCCCCTGCCAAGCACAGCTCAGCATAGACTATAACAGGATAACAGGCCACACAACACATGGAACAGTTGCAGCCCATGTTACAGTCCATAGCACAGCAGCCTGCTGGAGCACGTTGTGTAAGGAAAAGCCAGCCAGGTTCCTTAGAGTGTCTTCCTTAACCAGCCATGGAGGGAAGAAGAGACCTGCTGAGAAGGGTCCTGAGAAGGGAGTGTGCATTGAACAAACCCAGGCTCAGCTGTGCTCAAAACTAGTTGCAAATGATGAACCTGGTTCAGGAAACCTTGGAGGCCAAGAGGCAGACATTCTATCCTAGCCATGGCAAGGCAGCTGATACCAAAACACCTGTGTGCAAGGTCTACTTGGGCTGTTTGTCTCTCCCCTCTTGACTATTACTGCCTGCAGAGGGATTCTGGTAGACCCAACAGAGCAAGGGAAGACCACTTGTAAAGCTAAAGATTCATTACTTCCATCTGATTGGAGAATAGCAATTAAGGATAATGAAGGAGGTGAAACAACAAACACTCGTCTTCCTTGCCACTGGTGATTCACATTTCTGGGAGAATAAAAGAACTGAGGAGTGCTGCCTAGTAGTTTGCTTTTATGTTCTCAAAGACAACTTCACCTGCATGGTGCAACAGACAGGTATAGGACTCCATCTAAGAAAATACATTACCATCTGCAGGCAAGTTTAAAAACAAAACAAATCCTCGAGCATGGCAGGCTACCTAATGCCAAGGAGTTTGCTGAGCTTTATGTTTGTCTAGGGAATGTTCAGAAGCCAGTAGCGCTGCATACTAATGCAGTAGGCCTGTAAACCTCTTATTTGGACCAGATTTAGAACCCCCCAAAATACATTATTTTTTTTTTCCTACGGTGTTTACAGTCTCAGTCTGTTTGTAAAGCTAGTGACTGCTACCGTGTTACATTGGTGTTCATATTGATCCTTTTTGGTACAAATCCTTATAATGCCAAACATCAGAGCAGAATTCAAGAGCAGCACATGCCATCTCCAACCACTTAACTAAATAGTGCCTTTAAACTCTCCTTAGGACAGTTAAGAATCAGTTATTGAGATGTCACTACTGAAAAATAACTATTGCATTTCTTAAAGTTTAACAGTAAACAACATTGCCAATATATTATTGCACACAATAAAGGGTTTTGGAACTACAAAGATAAGGAACGGGTAATCTAGAAGACCCAGAATAATGATCCCAGAGCCATTCCAGTCGCTGCTCCAGCAAGCATGCCCAGTGCAAGATCTCCATCGCTGTCACGGTAACGCTCCCGAATGATGACATGGTTTGCAGGGGGTTGCCCATAAGGTCCTAGGTAACAAGAGATTGTTAGGAGGAGGGCAGAAGAAATGTATATCCTAATATTATGCATTGTGATTTCAAAACATGCCCACTCTTTCACCCTCTTCCTTCCACTGAAGACTAAGATGGTGTCAGCAACAAAAGTAGCATACATCTCTGCTTTGGATTCAGCCTTCACATGTAGAAGTTTAACATCTGGGAGAAAAGCTCATCACAAATGTAAAACTGAGCATTGTTTTGCATTTATATTAATAAAGAACCTACAGATTACTTGAATCATTCTATCAGACACTTAGTGGATTCAATGCAAGCAATGGGTCTAAAAATTGATTCAACCTTGAAATTAAGGCAAATAGTGCACTTCCCCCCCAAAAAATCTCTGGCAGCTCTGAAGCCAGTGTTTTGTTAGAAGCTGCATATCAGTTATTTACAATTACTGCCTACTACTTCAATTCAGCCTTCACATCCTGGATTGATCTGTTGCATGGTGACAGCTGCTATGTTTATTTTCAGATGAAGCCTGGCCCAGTAGTAAGGAATTAACCTAAGACTCAAGAAATAACCAATTGACCCTTGCTCTGCAACCAACTTGTACAAGCTCAACCTGTCATGTTTTGTGACTTAGCTCTAACCTGCAAAGCAAACATAATAGTATTGCTTTCCCTGCCAGACATTTCAGGAAGATTAAGTATTCTTGAAGATATTGCAGTGGTTTTCTGTAACAGATACTGAAATAATTCAACTAACAGAAGTGGAAAAGGCTCTCACTGACTCTCAATGATACATGACTAGCAACCTCACGAGAAGGATTATGTCAATTCAGAGAATGAGCAATAAAACTGAATGTACAGGGATTAAGTTAGTTGCTGGGGTGAAATTGACCCCTAAGATTTAGCTGCAGTAACCCTAGTGAAGGAGAACACTGAGGCTTGATTACTATGCTGAGCCTATAAATAATATCTTAACATACTGAACTTGCAAACTGTTTAGCAGAGTTCCTGTCTAATGCCACATTTTTATCATACAGGTTTCTGAAGCTTGACTTCCAAGGCCTGCTGTTAGTTTAAAAATGGTTCTTGGGACGTTCAACAAGTTGCTGCATTTCAGCTGCTGAGAACCAACAGAACCCACCTTTCTCTGTGTTTGTATATATATGATCTATGTCTTAGGACTTCACTAACTTAGATGAGAAAAACTGTAGGTTGATGCACCTCCCTTGTAACAAAAAATAGAAAAACAATGAAATAACCTGACAAATATCAAATGGAGAAAAAATCTCCCTCAAAACTGAAAAAAATTCTGAATAGACATTCTTGTTTGCAGAACCTGATCATAAACAATTAGTAAGTTAAATCTTTTGATTTGCATTACCAGTACTACTCTAAATCCCCAATTCTATAGGATTGGGGCTCTGTGCAAAGCTAATTCTAAATTAATGTGACTAAGCTTAAAAGAGCACCCTGAAATTTTAGCCTTTTTCCTCTTTTATTGGGACTGAAAGTTACACAAACCTGAACAGAGCAATAGAAGACTTTACAAGGCTCAATGTATTGCCTTAGAGCAATTCCAGCATGTGGGGAAAGTACTAGTTACCACTGTGCTTTGGGAGGGGATTTACCTTGGAAATTTGCATTAAACTGAGGTTGTAGCTGAACATCAGTGTTGAAATAATTAAGCCAGGTGTAAGAGCAACAGGAGAAACAAAAGCTCCATCAATGCTCAGTATGGAGCACTGAATCAATCTTGTTCTGGCTTTTCTCTCTTTCCTTAGAAAACATGCTGCCTGCTGTAGTTAGAGAGTTACTTGTGCTTCAGAAAGAGTTTACGAAGTAATTTAAATATGTTTGAATCACATGGGAAAGGTTAAATAACTTAATACAAATTTCACTGCACTCGCTTTGTTGTGAAAGGGTAAGGGGGCTTGATTCTAGTTACAAGTCAGGTTTCTTTCTGTGACTCCGTTGTGCAGAAGTGGTATGTAGTGAAGGGTGGTGATTAATAGAATTTATGACTTCAATTGTCTCTATAGGAGTAAATATGTTTGAATCACATGGGAAAGGTTACATAACTTAATACAAATTTCACTTGCGTTGTTGTGAAAGGGTAAGGGGGCTTGACTCTAGTTACAAGTCAGGTTTCTTTCTATGACTCGGTTGTGCAGGAGTGGTATGTGGTGAAGGGTGGTGATTAACAGAATTTATGTCAGAAAGACTGACTCAAATTGTCTCTATAGGAAGGAGAAGGATATGGTTGATACTGATTACCTTGGTATGGATACTGATAGGGAACAGCATAAGCTTGTCCATTGGAGGCATAGAAGACTTGAGGACCAGTAGGGGGATACGCACCGTTGTACTGATCGTAGCCATAGCCATAAACCTGGTGAAATTAAAAACATCCATTACAAAACTATTCTTTGCTATGTATCTGATTATGCACTTTGTTTAGTCGTCTCTCACTTCTAAAGCAGTTGAAGTTTCACTAAAATATCCAGTCTGTACTGATATAGTCTTATCTACTGCCTGGAAAGGATTTAGAACAGCTGCTTGATAAAATAAGTGCCCTTAAGCATCATTCACTCTCCTCCCTTCCCGGATGGTGAATGGCAGAGGCAGAGCCTGGACCATCAGGCAGAACCACAGCAACCTTACCAGCTTCTCCTCCCTGCCCAACAACAGCTCTCTGGAGAGCTCAGATGCCTGGAAAGGATTTAGAACAGCTGCTTGAAAAAATAAGTGCCCCTAAGCATCATTCACTCTCCTCCCTTCCTGGATGGTGAATGGCAGAGGCAGGGCCTGGACCATCAGGCAGAGCCACAGCAGCCTTACCAGCTTCTCCTCCCTGCCAACAACAGCTCTCTGGAGAGCTCAGGAGTGCCAGGTAGGCAGCAGCTGATCCCAAGAAACTCCAACCAACTTTCCCCTAGCAGGCTGCAAGTAAATGTCAGATTCAGGACAAATACTTTTTAGCCGTATGTTTTGAAAGCAATTTTGTTCTCCCAATGGAGGCCTGCTGCTACCCCCAAGTATGTTTTGAAAGCAATTTTGTTCTCCCAAAGAGGAGGCCCGTTGCTACCCCCAGTATAGCTCCCAGTACTGCATCTAGTTCTGGAGCAGAGCACCTACAGTGCAACAAGTAATATTACCCCAAACTACTACCCCATTGTGTATCACTGCACGTGAGCCAGAACATCCAGAAACCCCCAGTGTATACTGGTTTGGTCCCAATGCTGCTCTTTCTCCACTGCAAAAGAACTGGGTATGCAGAAGCGAGAGGTACTGTGTTGCTATGACATCTTGGATACAACAAAATCCTACTGTGTTAAAATGACATTAAATCCTATTCTTAAAATTAACTCATTAAATCCTATTTTTAGAAGTCCTGATTTTATATCCTTCCCATGCTTACACAGTGTGAAAGTGTAGTCACACCTCCTTATGATAAAAGTTGCATGGCCAATATTTACCCCAAACTATTACCCCATTGTGTATCACTGCACGTGAGTCAGAACATCCAGAAACCCCCAGTGTATACTGGTTTGGTCCCAATGCTGCTCTTTCTCCACTGCAAAAGAACTGGGTATGCAGAAGCGAGAGGTACTGTGTTGCTATGACATCTTGGATACAACAAAATCCTACTGTGTTAAAATGACATTAAATCCTATTCTTAAAATTAACTCATTAAATCCTATTTTTAGAAGTCCTGATTTTATATCCTTCCCATGCTTACACAGTGTGAAAGTGTAGTCACACCTCCTTATGATAAAAGCTGCATGGCCAATATTTTTCAAGATTAGCCAAATAATTTCTGCCCTGTCTTTAAGAAGCTTTATTTTCCGAGTTTACTGAGCAGCCATCCATTTATATACCTCCCAACCATATCTGCCTCATCCCTTTCAAAGGAAATCCACCTCAAATTGGAGTGACAGTAGATTGTTAGTACCTTACTCTCGCTCTCCTTTTGTACAAACCTTAAAGCTTGATCTGTGAAAGACAGCACTCAGGGAGTACAGTTTGGGTGCCTGAAGGATGGCCACTGCTGCTACCTCACTTATTTTAATGCTTCCCAACTGCAACTCTTACCTCAGGTGACGGTGTAGCGTAAGCTGTATAGGGAGGTGGGGCTGAGGAAATGGCTGTCTCATCATACATCACGTCAGATCCCACGTAGCCCTGAACACCATGGAAAGGTAACAGTTATCACCTTTTCCTACAGACAAGCAGTTAGAGTAGTGCAAGGATTAAGACTTAATGACCCCAGAGAAGGAGAAACCTTTAGACAAGCTGCAATTAAGAAAGCAGTACCTTATAAAGCACTGCAAAAAGCAGCTATTTGGGGAGCAGACCCGGGGGAATACAAATGGCTGATGAACCACAGGAAGGAGCCATAAAATTTCTTACCTGCGTGCGTGTGTGCACACGTGCATACACATGCATGCAAGTACACTGACTCCTTCCCTCATTTTGCAGCCTCAGTTTTAGAAATTACTCTGTTTTCCATCCTCCATTTTCAGATAAAAAAGTTTTCACAACTAAGTTAGCTGCTTCCTGGCACCCTATAGTGATATCACCATGTTCTACAAGAACAGATAAAGGAAACCAATGCAGTAGCCAAAAGTGACACCTAAACTTCTTAGCAGAACATTGTCACAGTTCTTAGACACCTCTCACTTTCTGGCTCTGAGGAGACTTAAAAAAAAAAAAAAGCAGTAAGAGAGGTTTAAATGCAGGGATTTGAGGGGCTTGGTTGTTTTTAGGGAATTACTTTGCAAATGCCACCTATCATTCTGGTCCTTTTTGAAGGCAGCTATGAGGAAAATGTGGTAACTTACTTGAATCCATCTACAAGGCAATTCGAAGATAATTATGATTTATCACAGTAGCCACATAGTCTTGCCCCTAGTATCAGAAATCTGCAGTGATGCTCTTAGTGCCCTATCCTAAGAAAAAAAACAGCTCCCTTTTTTTAATTTACAAAGAAACACTTTAGTAGCTCAATAGAGAATGTTCCTGTTGTCTCTTGCACCTGGACTGTAGGAAGACTTTTGAGGGCATAGTATGGCCATATCTCAGGTCAGACTTGTGTTGGAGATTCTAAAGATTGCTTGAAACACAGAAACACAGTGTTGAAAGCACTCTATT